ATCCCACTATGTTAAACTTCAATTCTGAGAGTCTGGGAATGCTCAATCATTTACAAGTCTGCTGGACAATTAGTTTCTGAAGGTTCGAATCCTCCTTTAAGTAAAAAAATTCTTATGTACATGACAGTGATTCCATCATAGACAACATGGTTTCAGTTTCGGTTTCAACTGCAATTACCAGGTCAGAGACAATTTACTTGCATTAAGCAATAGGATCTCAGTTGTCATTTATCAACAACAGTAAAAATTACAGTAACTATGGTGACAATAGCTCCAAAAAAAATACTGTAGCAAAGAATACACTCATGTACATGTATTTGTATTGAAAACATGTGGAAGTTCCCTTGGGGTACAATCTAAACCAATCTCAAATCAAACAAGATATTCAAACAATGGTCTGTATTAATGACACAGGTCAAATAGTTGACCTCATCTTGTATATTCTGGTATCCCTAATGTAAATCTTCAAATATGGAAATTAAGAAAAGCTGTCTGACCAGATACCAGTTTCAATAATGTAAATCTTAAAATATGGAAATTTGAAAGAGTCTTACAAAAATAGAAATTTTAATGAAATCAAGCTGTGTATTATTGGTTGAAGTTTTAGAGAGTTAAGTTAAGAAAGCTGGTGAATTCACTCTTTATATTGAAAAAATCTTTTACCTTAAAGGAATACTACCTCTTAGAATGGACATAAAATTTTAAGTCTCTAACTTGGTCAACTAGTGAAAATATGCAACAGTTGAATAAATTTCAATTTTTTGGTCATCCTATGGCAACATCCTTAGTATACCTTCAAAACAGTCACAAAAGGTTTCAAATAAAATACAGACAGTTTCCTTTTAGCAATAAAGGATGCTAAAAGGATCACAGTTTATTAAATAAATGCATAAAATACATAGATTTTTCTTGTTTTATATCTCTTATACTTTATCTTAAAAACAAAATGAACATCAGTTGATATTGATGCATGGAAATCGTCATTTTTTTTTTATTGTATACATCCTGTTATATCATTAATAGATGATATTTAAAGTGTTTTTTGGCTGAAAATTATGACAAAAGTCATTTTGTTTGAATACACAGTTTTTTTTAAAAAAGATTTTCTACCGGCAAATTTGGATTTCATTTGAAACCTTACATTTCTCATAACATTAATCTCTAATTGTTTCTAAGTGATTAAACATGAGTTCAAAATGATACTGGAAGTCATTCAACAGTCAATAGCAAGTTATAAACAACATGAGATATTTTTCAACATTTAAGGCTCCATGTTGTCTTCAAATCACCATCATCAAATCAAGGAGTTCATAGTCCTTGTGATTGATAGCATTTAACCTCTTACATGTTCATACATAACCTGTCTGTACATTTGAACAGGGAGTGAACAGCAGAAAATGAGATGTTAAGATGGTTGTCCATTCATTCTTAAATCCTGTTGTCATTGAAATGAAACTAGACTCAGACAGACAGGCTACTGAATAACAAATAATTATCTATAATTTGTAGGCTATCCTTTTTTCTGCAGCAGAAGATCAGGCATGATAGATTATAAAGCAAGCATTATCTGTTAAGAAACTAATCTCAGGTCATGCTCTCTAAAATTGAAGGTATTATAAGCATAACAATGTACCAAATTGGACATTTTTTAAGTGAATCTTATTTCTGACACTTCTGTTGAAGAAGTAGATGATGCTCTCTAAAATTGAAGGTATTAAAAGCAGTTACAATGTACAAAATCTAGACATTTTTTAAAGTGTCATTACAGTCAAAATTCAAGAATAATCTGATGATTGACACAACTTAATTTTAAGCCTTTTCAAGCAAGAAAACTGAGGAAAGAAGACAATACCAGCATTATTTTCTGGTGGACAGAACCTTTTTACTGGGAAAAATAATCCTGTTTCTGAACTACTCCTTTTTATACCAGTTTGTTGGTACAGACTCAGTATTTAAAATGACATAATTTTGACTCATCTCAGCATAGAGCTAGATATGTTAAAATGCATAGCATAATACTCTAAAATCTGAGTGAAGCACATTTTTTTTTTCTAAAGAACATTAGGGGCAAAGAAGGAAAAATTGAAAATAAAAAGATTCATTCAGATCCTGAACCATACTCCACTAGTCATGTAGTGGCAGGTCTACTAGAAGCATAATTAAATGACATAATACATCTTAAACCTTAAAGGAGCACCTTCACTATCCCTTAGTCCAATCATACCTTAGTTTCAGAAACAGGAATTTTTTTCGAGCTTACATAATCAGTAATAGTGTTCAGAGCTCATTTTCGAAATATGAGCCTTCAAATCCATGTGTATCCATAATTATTCATGTTTCAAAGTTAAAAATTCGTCTTGAATGTTAGTGAGACTATGTTGTATATAGAAAACACATATATAGGAATAGATAGTGAAATTTCTAGTTTGAGGTATATTTGAAGGGATTTTTGCAATTTTCTTGCGTTTTAGTACTTCTTAAGACTATTAAAGCACAATAAAGACCCAAATCAATCCCCGAAAATGCTGACTGTTCTCCTTTAAAGAGCATCATTTTTATGACTTGCATCAGTGTTAATTGATTTCTGGTATTGAAACATATTAAACATGTTCCCCAGGTTATGACTTTTTCATTGATCAAAGCAGAGTCAGGAATTTCTATTGAAATGCAGTAATTAAAAATCATACTTTTTTAAGATCTAGTTTTTCAATGACTTACAGTAAATACTTAACACAAAAATTCAGTCCACAAGTTTGTCTTGAGTGTTATGTGTGAGCTTCAAACACCAAAGCATAAAAAGATTTTTACCCAAACTTGAAATCAGAACATTAGGCCAACTAAAAACTCCATTTTCAAGTTGAGTACCCAAAAGCAAACAAAACAATAAGAGCCTAAAGCTGTCTAATGATCATACCATTACACTTCTGCCTCGCGAAACTACTTAATTTGCTCCTCCACTCCTTCTGTTCATTCTCCTACCCATCTGTTTCATTCATTGATTTCTACAGTTTAAATCCAATTTTAATGAATTCCACTTCAAGTGCACATAATGTTCATCTTAAACATTTTTATTGCACTTGGACATTATTAAGCTGCAATCAAATTAATAATTTCTTTATTGAATAAACAATAAAACAAGTTCAACTTATATGCTTCATTATTTGGCACACTTGATTTAAACATCATCCTTTAGTGCATATGATATTCATCTTTAAAGACCTTTATTGCACTCTGACATTATTAAGCTACCATCAAATTGTTAATCTTTTTCTCAAATAAACAACAAAACAAGTTCAACTCATCACTCTTCAACATTGTGCATACTAGATTATAAAAATAATCCTTTTGAGAACTTTGAGAAAATAAAAATTCATAAGATAGTACAGTGGGAAAAACATGAAAAGCCATGAAAGGTCCATCTTTAATTTGAAATCATCAATAAAATCTGAATTTTGATCCCTTTCTTCTTCTATCCTTGGAAATAATAAATAAATTTAAATTTTGAATAATGAACTTTGAACTAATAACCTATGACCTTTATGACTTAATATGGGAGGAAATTGAATTAGTATAAATCCTATTAAATGGGGTGTTATTGGTTTAAAAGCTTTAAGAAGTTGAAAATAGTGACATGTCTATTGTACTCTCACAACTGACATCTATATGGAAAGCAATTTTCACCAAAACTACTAAGGATGAATTGTCCAAAGGAAAGATGAGAAAGGACTGCCATAAAATAATTTTCTTTCAATTATCAGGGATTGTGAAGAGGCACATTGTTATAAGTAAACAAGTTTATGACATTATTTCCCCCCTATGACATGAGAAAATGTTGATAATGGCACTTAATTCCAGGAAGTTTCTACTGAACTAATTTTCTAAATGATTGTTGGAGAAATTTTACTAACTATTAGTTTAATCTGATATTTATTTGTAAAAAGTATATTTAAAGAGACAGATTTGCCATTTTGGGGGGTTGATTAGGGTCTTGAATAGTCTTCAGAAATACACGAAATGTACAAAAGTTGCATAATTCCTTCAAATATACCACAAACTAGGAATTTTACTTTCTATTTCTATATATGTCTTTTCTATATATCACAGAGTCTCAGACGAGTCGTCATTTTGACTTTCAACTTTTAACTGAACACACATGAATTTGAAGGCTCAGATTTCGATGGTGGGCTGTATTACTGATTAGCTTAGCTATATATTTCTTAGTCAAATGGATGCCAAACTATCCCTTAAAATTAAAAGCAACTGCATTAATATTTCAAACAAAGCTATTAATCCTTGGTGTTTATAGGAGCACCTTCATTATCCGTTCGACCAATCATACCTTAGGAGTTTTTTTAGCTTACATAATCAGTAATAGTGTTCACAGCTCATCGTCGAAATTTGAGCCTTCAAATCAATGTGTATCCATAATTATTCACATTTGAAAGTTAAAAATTCAACTCAAATTTAAGTGATAATATGCCATATATAGAAAACATATATATATATATATAGAAATAGACAGTGAAATTTTCAGTTTGAGGTATATTTGAAGGGATTATGTGATTTCCGTGCATTTTAGTCCTTTTTAAGACTATTAAAGCACATTCAAGACCCAAATCAATCCCTGAAAATGTCGACTGTTCCTCTTTAGATGTTGTTCCAATAAGATATTGTTCCAATAATCATGTTTATGCTGCATAGAGCTCAAAGATTGGTTTCAATGTTATTTATTCAAATGTAATAAGCTCTCGGAAAGCTGAAATCATGTTTATGTTGAAGTATATAAAGCTGAAAGATTTGGTTGCAATGTTACTTATACGTGATAAGCTCTCAAAAAGCTGAAGTCATGCTTAAGTTGAATATTGCTCAAAGATTTAGCCAATTGGTTGTAATGTAATGTATTTAAATAAATAAGCTCTAAGAAAGCTGAAATCATGTTTAAGTTGAATATTGCTCAAAGATTTGGCCAATTGGATGCAAGTTAATGTATAACAATGATCTTAAATTATGTTTTTTGAGCACTTAAACTGTTCCCTTTTAAATGTTGTTCCAGTAAATTTAAATCCTTCAAATCCACTGAAGATCTTTTTACAGACTTTCTAAAATAATCATCACATTTTATAGATAAAAAAGATAAAGGTCATACTTGGTTTGATTAAGAATAAAGTAATTCATTGTCACAAACTGTTTCAATACATTTTCCTTAAGTTTTTTTTTCATGAATAGCATTCAAAATATGCCCAGGCATAAATATCCTTCAAATCACACTTAAGTGTAAAGTATCATAAAATTATGCAAATGACTATTTGATCTGTGAATGTATTCTAACAAGATGGTGGTACAATAATCTGCTGGAGACATCCTGACAAGTATCAATAAAGCTATAACAGGGTGTTTACTATACTAATGGTCTTTGCCCAAGCATTGTCATTTTAATATGAGGATCAGTATGATTTTCAAACAGGGCTTATAATGCTTTATACAATACAATATTTGCATTAGTTGAATGAATGGACCTTAAATTGAGGCTAAACTTAATACTGTTGGCAATATGATTGTTAGTTTACCATCTCAAAGATTGAACCAATTGGGTGTGATGTAATTTATTTAAATGTAATATGTTCTCAAAAAGCTGAAATCATGCTTTTGTTGCATAGAGCTCAAAGATTTGGCCAATTGCTTGCAAAGTAATTTATCAAATGTAATAAGCTCTCAGAAAGCTGAATTCATGTTTATGTTGAAGCATATAAAGCTCAAAGATTTGGCCAATTGGTTGCAATGTTACTTATACGCAATAAGCTCCCAAAAAGCTGAAGTCATGCTTAAGTTGAATATTGCTCAAAGATTTAGCTAATTGGTTGTAATGTAATGTATTAAAATAAATAAGCTCTAAGAAAGCTGAAATCATGTTTAAGTTGAATATTGCTCAAAGATTTGGACAATTGGTTGTAATGTAATGTATTAAAATAAATAAGCTCTAAGAAAGCTGAAATCATGTTAAGTTGAATATTGTTCACAGATTTGGCCAATTGGATGCAATGTAATTTATAACATTGATCTCAAATTATGTTTGTTGAGCTGATTAAAGCCTTAATGAAGAAAAGTATGTAAATTTAAGAACAGAGCATATCATCTGTAGAAAAATTATTTTACCTCTTTTTCTGCAGCAAATTTGAGTAATTTAGAATCCATCTCCATTAATATATCTTCCCAGGCTTCAGACATTTGTTGTATTGTTGTTTGTAAGTACTGAAAATATCAACATTTTTAATCAAGTGGATGAAACTAAGCCACCATCTAGACTCTCAAGAACACTAGCCAAGGCAGGCATCACAATTTTTATTTGTATTCAGGAGATCATGGCCTTTTAGTATTTTTTAATCAATAAGCAGGCAACAATCAAAGTCGCTTTTGCATCCTTCTAGCATCAGACCATGGTCTTGAGAGTAAGCTCTCTCCAATCTTCTTTGTCCCTCCGCATCCAGCTTGATTTAACAAGGTTAGTACTCTCCAATACCTTATGAAATTCTGTTTCTATCTTGTTAGAATACAATAATATTTTGCATTATTGACAGGGAATTAATATGGTGGACTTGCAGACAAAAAAGTCCACTAAATCTGATCCCACACAAAAAATAATTTCACAGTAGCCTATAGACCTTAGTCATGCCTCGTTTTTGAGACACTGAAAGCAAGGTTTATAAAGCAAATTATGTCATCAATTGATAAGATGGTGATGTCATATGAATGAATAGTCTATGTGAACACCTGATCAACAGCAAGAAAATTGGCTTAAAACTGCCTTTTTCTCAGACATGTGTCAACATAAACTTCATCTGAAAGCATCATTAAATAGCTTGTTCAACTATGATATGATCCTCGTTCGTAATTCAATATGGCCGACATGTGAATCTATATGAATACTGTTTCTTTAAAATTTGAAATATAAATCTGTACCTCTAATAATGTAGCTATTTGACCATATTTCAATGCCATTAATCTAATTTCTTTATGTCTAGATGCTAATAATGTGGTGTCGTACTGAAAAAAGTCAATAATTTACAAATACATCAAATTCAAAGATAAATTCCTAAATGATTAGGTCAAGGTATTTTGATGCCTGACCTGTACTACTACCTCAGAGCATGGATGGTAGTGTAATTTTATATATATATATAAGTGCAATCAAGTGGTCAACATTCAACTGAACATGAGTTGAAGAAATATTTCTTCAGATCATGGATGGCTTGAATAGTAACCAGCAGAAGAAATAATTAACTGCATTTGAATCATATTGTACTAATGCCATACTATAGATGAAACAACAAGTGTAGAGTGATATAAGGTGAAACTTACTGATAACATGTAATAATCTATATCATCAGACTGATCAACAGTAGATTCTATTATTAATGATAAACATTTTAAATCTTGAGATATTGATGCTGTATGTATATGACGAGACTGAAAATAGAAAAAAAAACATTGTAAAAACAGTGACTTCCATTGACAGGAGAAAAAAAAAGATTTCTGAATTTTGACAACAATGATAGATGTAGCAGTTGTTAGTGAATGTACTGTGAAAACTAAGTAAATATACAGCACTGAACTGAGCATATGTACAATTAGTGGAAATCTAATGAATATTATATTCCAACAACCTATAAACAGCTATGTTACTGTCAAATACCCTTTCTGCATACTTAAATTGATACGTACTACGTCTTAGAATGAACATAACCTTTAAGAATTTTAAACTTGGCCAATAAGAGCATATATTCATCATTAATGCCTGGTGTCATATAATCAAAAAAAAATAGTTATTACCCATAAAAATGCAATTAACTATTGAAAATATCCAGATTAAGCATTTTTCAATAATTACTTAGTTTTATGAATTTTCCAATTTTTCAGATTTTACAGGGATTCTGTTGTAACTTTATGACACCAGGTAAGTTCACTGATGAATATATACTCATATTGACCATTCTTGAGAACCTAAATTTGATGTTCATTCTAAGACGTAGTATCATTTAAAATGAAGATCTCTGATTTTCTAAAAATATTTGGAATGAAGTCAAATCTTGCTGTTACCATCAAGACCCCACTCTATTGTTTATAACTCTTATCATTGCCTTGAAATGTCACATTCGTATCTAAGGCGGCCATTGTATTACAAAAACCTTGTATGCAAATGGAAGAAATTCTTCTTTAGTTATTAGGAGGAAGTTATCTCCACAAAAAATATTGTTCGTCAGCTGTTAGTTATCTCCCATAAAGACTCTATCCTTTGTAGACAGAAGTCTGGGTGTCAGAGACTAGTCAGATGTCAAGAATGGAGACGAAAAATTAAGCTATTGTCACATGACCTAATATTTGAAAGTAGGATTTATCCGCCAGATGCATACGAGGTTATTGTAAAGCGTAGCGAGAGTGGCTGACTTATTTACGAAATGTCAGGCACCCATACAAACAATCTTCTTTCAGACAAACATGGCTCAAAATAATTAAGACCAGAACAGCTCTTGTAGATTGACATAATAGAAGTGATGCTTGTCAATTTCAAGCATTTTAATGTAAGTCTTCAAATCCATGGGTATCCATAATTATTCATGCTTTAAAGTTAAAAATTCGACTTGAATTTTAGTGAGACTATGCCATATATAATAAACATATATATAGAAATAGACAGTGAAATTTTTAGTTTGAGGTATATTTGAAGGGATTATGCGATTTTCGTGCGTTTTAATACTTCTTAAGACTATTAAAGCACATTCAAGACCCATGTAATGTAATTCCAGAACAAACAGTATGTCTAAAATTTGCACCTCAAAATTAAGTTTGAAATATCAATCCTGATTTGAAAGGGATTTAAACTCCAATCCTATTATCAAATGGGTAATGAAATTTGGTAAGAAACAGTAAGAGCTAACCTTTGAACCATCTAATATTGAGAATGTAACCACACCACAAGGAAAGACACCATAAGCAAACAGATATAGCTGATCATTATCAGTTCCTACCAGTAATAGATTTAATCTGAAATGAAAGAAGGAATGAATGAATACATGATGGCAATAAGAAAAATTTAATATATTACATGAATGAAATGCAATTTCTAATACAGACACTCTGAAATTTCTGCATTTTTGCTCTGGCAATGGTACCAGACTACCAAAATAACACACATCATCCCCAGGACCACAAGTTACAGCATGGAAACGCATTTCTAACACTGCAAATGACGACACATTATGGCATCAGTGGCCTTCAGACTTCATTCATTTTGATTTCCTGTTACAAAAGTGTCCATTTCTTGAGTTACTATTTCGTTAGGGAAGATGTCACTAGCATGAAATGTGGAGCGTATATTGCCGTCACCCATGTGTCAGGGCCCTATAAAGATCTAGTGATGGTTTTTGTTCTGCCATTGTGCATAATAGTCCTTTTTACACCAGGCCGCTAAAAAGCGTTCCGTTCTCGGTCCGGACCGATAAAATGTTCCCATTTACATTTCAGAAAACTCAAGTGGTCTGAAAACGGTTCTTCGGTTGTAGTATAAATGAAAAACGTTATCGGCACGGTTATCTGTGGAACTCTTCTTGAAGAAGTTAAAATTAATCCTTGATGTAATCAAAGACATCTGGATGTAATCAATGATTGTACTAAATAGTGACGAAACTCTGCGGGAAAAGGTGAAGGTTGCTTTGTAGGGCATGCACAGTAAAGCATTCTAGGAATGGTTATCGATAACATTACAACGTTTCAAGTCCGTTCTGAGAACTGTTCAGAGACCACTTCCCCGAGATGGGCCAGAATTGGAACGGTTCTCAGAACGCTCAATCATTTACATTACACAAAATTCATCTGTTCTGTTCTGAGAATGGATAACTTTGTAATGTAAAAGGGGTTTACGTTACCTTGCTTGGCAAACTATTTTCTTAAATGAGGACCCACTAATAAAGATAGTGGACCACAGCCATATACGCCACCACGGCATGCGGATGGTAAATATTCAAGATTTTGGGGCAAGGGCAATAACTCTGCTTCTAACGGTCGAAAAATAGCTCAAATTCAAACTTGATCTTCGTTTTATGAATATGTATACACATACCGAATTTCATTTGATTCCATCAAAAAATCTAGTTCTTAGAGCGTTTACAAGCAAATGTTGACGGACAGAGGGACGGACGGATGGATGGACAGGGGTGCCGACAATATACATCCACATAGAGAGATGTAGGCGTATAAAAACACTTGATTTGATATCTCTCTTTTTGTGTTTTTGGTAGAAGAGGGCAAGAGAATTTTCTCTAATATACATGTATCCAATATGTGGAATTGAAATCTTTCAAATCTAAGTAAAGGGCTTCAATTTCAGGAATTCAAGATAATAATATGGAACCAGTCAAAATAGGACATAAAATAGGTAATAAAATGTAAAATGTCAACAGGCATGAAGCAATAAACAAGTCTATATAAATATCAGAGCAAATATTTAACAAACATTAGCAAATAATCTTCACATAAATTGCCTTATCTTGATTGTCTGAAAATGGCTGCCATTAACTTTAAATGCCTCATTTTCAAATACTTGGAGCATACTATGAAATTTATGTTCAGTCAAATGATGTTAATTCTAGGACTGTAATGTTGTGGAACTAAGAAGGTTTTATGAGGCTAGACACATAAAATGTCTTGTTATCTTTCTAGTAGATTGAGTAAATTAGTAGTCAGATGAAATTAAAGGGCCAAGTTTAATAGCACATGTTAGATAATAGAAAATTAATGGACCATTCATATAGGTTTATAGATTTTATCTTATTAAATTATATTTAAAAGGGCACAAACTCATATCCTATATAACAGCATAAATATACACTACATAAATAATTTTAAAGGTGGATATCACCTATTTTAAAATTTTCTAAACATAAAACCACAAGACTTAAAAAATCATTTCAGACTGAGTGTCAGAAAAAAAAATCATATTCCCTGAACTCCAACTTGAAATGATTGACATTTATGTGTTGTCATTTGAATCGGCTCAAGGTTGCTTATCAAATATCAAATTTATTAATCATTGATTTACTAATATTAAAATAGAACCTAAAGAAACCTTGTTACTCAGACTTTCACACTACATAGTTGTCTAAAGATCACATAGTATGAAACTCTGAGTAACAACATGTTTCAAACTATGTTTTAATATTTCTATATCGCTCTACTATTAATGTTTTGAGTACTATTTTACCTGTGAAAATATTTTATAATTGTAATTATTGATTTATATATTTTAAGCAAAATGTCCATAAGTGCTAGATCAATTTGCCATTCATACAAAATGTTAACATATTTGTGAAATTCTGGAAAAATGTACAATATGTTATTAAAATAAAACAATGCAAAATATTAGAAGTCATGCTTCAACATCTCTGCTCCTGATTTGTGGTAAAGAAATGAAATGAAATGAATGGAGTTTTACGTCCTACTTTCTGCACCATGTGGGCTAATGAAGACTGTCATTGCCATGCAGGGTACAATGAGGGAAATGATTTGTGGTAAAGACAGGCAACGTATTGCAATGTGCAATGAGGGAAAGTTTGCAGGATAGCCATATTAACCAGAAAATCTGTTTTGATTTCCAACTAACTTGGTCACCCAAAGTAATAAAAAATCATATACAGTTATTTCTTGAAGGGTAAAGTATTCAAGTTTAAATTTTGCTTGCATTCTGTGTTTTTGAAACATTGACAAATGAATCACTTGAAAATTGTTTTACAGTGTACTGTGTCAGAAAAAATAAGTGTGTCCTTTTGGTGTTGGGTGAAGAAACTAGAGGCACTGGCCAAGGTCACAAGAAGAGAACATTCTTCTTTTACATCAATGAACAATTTGAGAAACAAAGATTAAATTTTGATGAAAATCATCAAGTTTCACACATTTTTTTGAAAATTATTTTTCATTGATTACTGTTGGTGAACTATTGTCCTTGCTTATTAGCAGTTAGTACCTGCTTCCAAACAATAAACACCAACACCAGGCTTTTATTTAAACATAGGAAATGGGACAGTTTTCACATGGACAAATTTTTTAATGTAGATAAATTGATTGTGCATCCCTCTCATTACTATACAAATCAGTCTTCATCAATCAGAGGTTAAAACAGGAAATTGTCTAGAGAGTCCCTTTAACATGTGATACCCCCTACTGCTCAATTAATTTTCCATCTCTCAAAGTTTCAAACTTTATCTATCCCTTTAATCAGGCTTATTGTTCACCACCCTTTAAATAATGTTATCTTTCATCTGACACTTCCCTCATCCTTAACTCTTTTCCTGCCTGGGCCAATGTTTTTGTTTATAAGGCTTTGACTTATTCCAATCCATTGGGAATTGAGATTAATGTTTTGGGGTTGTATAATGAAGAAAACTAGAAACCTAATTATGTAAGGTATCATTAGTAAGGTTTAAAATTATGTTAATTAAAGGTTCACATTAAGAGATCTGCCTACTTTTTTTTCACAATCGCTTATCTACCATCTACCTTGCCTCTGGGGTTCACTACCTATATTCATATCCCCACCCCCAAAACATATCAATACCCCTATTTCTTATGTTCAATGAATCAATTACAGATGTTAATGAGTATATAGAAAATCAAAAGCCCAAATTATAGGTATCTGTGTAATGTTTACAACCTTGTAAAAATAAGGTATTTTAAAACATCAAACAGAGATTTAAAATAAATATAGGGGAGGAACAGGTATTCTTCAGTAGGCTAATATTATTTTTACATTTCAAGATACTCAGAAACAAGATTGTTGATTTGGTTTTATTGACTAGTCAATTCAAGTGTCTGTACTCTTTTTCAAAAATATCTATAATGAACTATGAATATTTAAAGGATGTGTGAGCCATTTTGGGGGGGTTGATTTGAGTCTTGTATAAATGTAAATAGTCTTCAGAATACTAGAAATATACGGAAATCGCATAATTCCTTCAAATATATCTCAAACTAAGAATTTTTTTCCTTTTTCTATAGATGTCTTTTCTATATATGGCAGTGTCTCAAGAAAAGACGACTCATCTTTTTAACTTTCAAACTTTCAAATCTCGTTTCTGAGACAAAGGTACAATTGGTAACAAAAAAATGGCACAACTGTCCCTTTAAATGAGAACTACATGAAAACATCCCATGGCATGTATTGAATAATGACTTGTTTCTATGATACCACACTAATCTCTATCAGTTTTTGTCAAATATGTGTTGTAGGGTCCTGAAAGGTTTATTATAAATTTCTGCTTTCTAGAATAGTCACCAATGAACCTTTCAGATATAATTTCAGAAATAATGCTGACGTTTGTTCATGATTTATTTCCAGGAGGCATCCGATCGAACTTTTTCCATTCATTAAAAGCACCAAAAAATTTTCGGAAAAGTTCTGCTTACTTAAAGCATAACCAGTTGATAGTTGAATTGATCAAGTGTTAAAAGTACTAAGATACATGTATATTGGAGTCTTAAGTTTCAAGTCAAAAGGTTTTTCTTTAGGAATTGAGAAATTCCATTTTGGAGAACCCATCACTTGTATAATATATGCCAGAGTACATGTGTTTGTGTGTGTCTTTTCAACTAAAATCATACTAATGACAAACTAATTTTCACATAATTAATAGACTTATTTATTGCTCTATGATCTAGACCGGTGCTTTCAGTATGAAATGGATTGTCCTCTGCTAGGCAATAAGGTGTTGTGGGTTTGAATCTTCCTAAAGGTAAGAAAAATTCTGATGCCTGTGCCAATGCTTTTGAGAGTCTGCCCAGCGTCGGCTCTCAGCCTTACTACAATAACATAAGAATAAAGGGGTATAGATTTAACCTAATCAAGATTAAAATCTGATGTCTAAGACAGATTAAACAAATCCAGATTAGATTAAAATAACAGATCAAAAATGCCTCCTACCAAGTTGATTAATTGAGCAAATATTGTTGTAAACTGGCAACTACTAATCTCTTCTTTGTTTCAAAGTCTATAGAGAACAAATATCAATATTGATGTGGAGCATTAGGAACTTGAGCTACCATTTTGTTTCTTGTCTTTAAAAAGGGATTTGGAAAAGGTTCAAAGAATGGCGGTTAATTTTGTCAGTGTTTTTTAGTTTACAAAAAGGATTTAAATGATGTAATTGGTCTTTTGCTGTAAACAATGTCTTCATTTGATCCAGTACAAAGATAATTCATTCATTCTTTCTTTTATCATCATTGTTTACAATCCTTTGATCTTACATGGTCATTAATTTTGATTGTTTATTTTTTTGTACATTAATACGGTCTTTAGTCTGATTTTTTTGTCTTATTTTCCATCTTGAATTATTTTGCTGTAATTAAACAGTCATTATTTGAATCTGTGAACTCTTTGATGTTATTGTACATTTACACATAGATGTAACCCTTTTAAAAGATCAGTAATATTGGCCTTTTAGGCATCATATAGGTCATCGATTTAATTATTAGTATACGTGTAGTACCAATTTCATTGGTCAAAAACCAGTACTATACATTTACATACCTGCCCAAAGCAGAGCAATGCTTAAGTTAGATGCTTATGTTATCTACCAACAAAACAACCAACCGATGTTTACATCAGGTAACCTAGCTTACCTAGGTTCAATGTGACAGCCAGATACGCCCACTCCAGATGGTATTGATAAAACATGAACCTTTCATTGAGTCTCACAACGACCATTTGAAAAGACAAGGAATATAATGCCAGAGTATGAAGTAAAAGCCTTAATTATTACCAATTTCTCAAATTTCATTAAAATTATGTACATGCATGATAATTATGAAAATCTGTTTCAAACTAAGGGACCTCAAGCATTTCAATATTCTGTTGTGGATTTCCTAAAACGCAATGATCACTGGACTTCTTTAATCAATCAACTTTGTATAAACAATATAAAACTAAAGTACTAGCAATCGGTACCACAAATCGAAAACCGAAATCCAAAATAACATATTAATAATATACTAGTAGAAACTATGTCTGTTTATTATCATGTCAATAAGAACTATGATAAAGAACATGCTTACTCTTTCTGATCCAATAATCTTTTACTGTCTTCAACACTTTCTTCACTGAAAAAAATAATTTGGCAAAGTTTAATAAAATGGAGATTGAAGATGGGCTAAGCTAGGAAGTTTGAGGCTAAGAAGGCTGAGAATGAGAAGGTACTACTATTCCAAGTGTTCAACTCATAGGGGCATCCTTTAGTTCTCATAAATAAAGGGATTGTAAAGGGATTTTCTTAACTATTTATGTGTATTGGGACAATGATAGCATAGATTTGCACATTCCAATTTTCAGTTGGTTGACCTTGGTTGCTGAGAGATGTGGGCGTATAAAAATTCGCAGCTTTTGCGATTGTGATGTTATAAAACTTTTAGTTTTAGAGGAATTGTAACAACCACAGACTTCTGACTGAAAATTGGAACGATGCAAATCAATACCATCAGTGTCCCAGATACACATAAAAACTTTAGAAAATCTCTTCCTTTAAAAAAGAAGCAAAGGAAAGAGTAATTGGACAGATAGATAAGTACATATAAACTAATATAGAAGATATAGATAGGAAAGGTGACAGCATCCTGGTGAGAATACAGTCTACTTGATACACCCCATGTTTTATAAGGTGTTACTAGAGTGTTATCAACCTCACTGTAAGGTGTTATATCCTGGGATGTGAAGGACACTCAGCCAAGTCTCACCCATCTCTCAATACCTTATTTATTTATCAATACCAAATCAAGTTAATGGCACCTCTTTAAGATGACATGTGAGATCTATAATAGGATTTCGACTCTTCAAATCCATTAGCTACTATCTATTAATGTTTGGATTTGAAAATCTTAGTGAAGTATCATTTAACAAACACAACAACTCATATAAGTTGACATCCTTTCAGATATCAGATGCTTTTAATGTTGCTGGTCATTTTGGACTCATTGGCAAAATATCTCCCTCACAGCCTATCAAAGGCAATTGATTGAAAATGTGACTTAGCATGAACTATTTGAAAAACAATCGCTACAAGGTCTGGATAAGATACAATCTCTTTAGCATCAAGGTCCAGAAAATCATCTAAGAGGGATTGTGAAGAGGTTTTCTCATTTTTTATGAGTATTGGAGAACACTGATAGCTTCAATTTGAAATATTACAGTTTTCAGTCTGTGGTTTCAGCAATACACTATAAATTAGTGTTTGATGATGTACCTTATCGCAAGGGCATTATGTGACACACCCAACCCATATTTTGCAGTGTTTTTACAATTCCTTTAAAATGTCCCAAAATTTTTCAAGATAACTAAGCAATTCATGTATTTTGACTTGTGTATAATTTTTTGTGTATATCTTAAAAAAGATTCTACAGTAGTTGAACAATAATGTCTACTTACTGATTTCCTTTAGAAATTGCACCATAGCTGAAATAACCAATAGAACGATATAATCTCATCCAGTAAATGAGTAGATGAAATAATATATACATGCAATGATACAGGTGAAGTATTATAAATATATAAGATGTCTGATTTCACCAATCAACAATCAAATATCATCAATATTACTGATATATATCTGATGAAAGAATCTAAAACTATGCAGTATCTTGGCTTTCTATGCATTGTTTAGAATATGAAAACTTAATGCATCTATCTATGTATCTGGGATGGAATGGAGTATACTGATTGACTATCAGGGACCCTGATTGTATTGATTTGCACCATTCAAATAATCAGTCAGATAATTTTGGTTCAAATTGATTGAGAAAATGTCTGTACAATCTGTTTCACATGCAAAATGTATTGTCTTCTTTAAGAATATTCTGATTTATATTGTTTTTCTTTAAAGTAACACCACCTCTTAGAATGGACATAAAATCTAAAGTCTCGAACTTGGTCAATATGACTATATATTCATCATTGTTTGAATTATCAGGTACCATGACTAAAGAATAGAACCTCTATATAACGACGATGTATCCATTAAACTAAATAATCAATGAATCAAGCATGTTTCAAAATGACTTAGTTTAATGAATTATTACTTAGTTTTATGGATATATTAGATTATAGAGGGATTCTGTTCTATAGTTTTGACACCAGGTAAGTCCACTGATGAACAAATACTCATTTTGGCCAAGGTTAAAAAATTCAAAAAGTTTTTGGGTCATCCTAAGAGGTAGTATATCTTTAAATATTCATCAAATTATTTTTTATAGAAATTACCCTATAACAATAAATGTGTTGTATTTGTGTCCATTACTTTTAACAATTCATAGACATTTAAAAATATCTTTGTGTGGGATTAGTTCAAAATGGTGGTCACATCACATAAATCAATTAAAATCCTATTCAAATTCAATTGGCAACCTTTTAAATAGGAATTCATTTTCTTTTATTCATAGATTTATGGTCAGTTTGAGGAAGTGTGATACGGTCAAATGACCTACAGACTAATAAATCAAAATATTGTCTAAAATGACTTCACATGTATCCATACATAAATCAAAACTATAGTGAAAAGATGTTAAAAGTTTAGTGAGGGTACTGTCTTAGAAACATCTGCAAAATGTATCATATTTGTCACAAAGCTGACAATACCCATAAATCGCATCATAAACTTCATTCTATACTTTCAGCAAACAGAAGATAGGCTTCAATACAGCTGAACATTATCTTCCCTCCTTTAGGCCCAACTTTATTTACTTCATGGTTTACAGATCCCAGTGTCCCTACTTTTCTGAAAAACCCAATAAAAAGAAGATTGTATAAACTGTTTGTATGTTTTGTGCACCAATTTGTGTTTCAGTTGCATTCATTGAAAACTAAATATTTCTTTTTGAAACTCAGAATAACTCTGAATTAAAGGAGACTGATGTGCCATTTTCAAGCTTTGATTTGGGTCTTGAAAATATGTAAAAAATCGTCTTTTAAACTTTCAAAAGCGAAAAATATTGTACACACATGAACTGAAGACAGTGCGCTGTGAACTCTATTACTGATTAACTTAGCTAAAAAAAATCCTGTTTCTGAGACTAAGGTACGATTGGTGAAATGAATGGGAAACCTATATAAATAACATTTTTAAATTTTTAATACACTGCTCAAATATAAGGAATTTCTCTTTTCCACCTCACTGACTTTGAGGAGTAAAATCTCCCAAACCAGAAAATTAAAATGCTGGCCTCACAGCCCTATACAAGGCCACAATTTAATGAGGGTCATCATATACCTGTCATCCTTCCTAATACACTCATAAACTTTCAGATTTTTACAAATCATTTTATGACTATTACAGCTGGGCAAACATTTCAACAAAAGACTCAGAATTTGGATAAAGCATTGGAAACAGTAGCTATTTAAATAGTAAACTGTATATTATGTCATTTATAGTTAAAGTCGTTGTTTATGAGACTTAATTTCTTTGCAAAATCTGTCATGGTGGAACATGTAAGTGTATGAAATAAAAAAGCTTAAAGATGGGTTCCCTTATTTTAATTTATGAACATGAAAATGCTAATACTTATATGAATAGAAAGAAGAGGTATTGTAATGACTTGGAAAAATACCAGTTTGTCTCAAATATCCATAATAAATTCTAATATATAAATAATATAATATTCATCAGTTGGACTAAAGAATATAATCTCTATATAAGACGATGGATCCTTAAAGATGGGTTTCCTTATTTTTTAGTGCCAAATTAAGAAAACTATTTGATTAATATGTGTTTCTAATTAATTATTATGTATTCTTAATCATATCATTATATTTTTATTGCATATAATTAAGAGTTTTAACCAATCATAAATGTCCATGTATCTGCTGTCTGGATAAACAAAAAAAGACTTTTTGACTTTTCTAGATCGGTCACTCATTGGAATTCTGCTCGTAATTCTCTTCTAATTTAACTAATTATGAATTAATTATGGACATGTGAGACCAACTGATATTTTTCCAAGTCATTACAACACTTTCTGTTCATATAATTAATAGCATTTTCATTTTCATAAATAAGGGAACCCATCTTTAAAGCTAAATAATTAATGAAAAATGCTTCTAAGCTTGTTTCAAAATTATTAAGTTTAATGGATTATAACTTAGTTTTAATGATTTATTGGATTAAAGAGGGTTTAATTTTTGGCCATGTTCGAACATTTAAATTTGTTGATCATCCTTAGAGGTGGTATACCTTTAATTCTGTTCATTTCACGCTTTCTCCCATTTTAGGATATCTGTACACAAATTTCATACAACAAAGTCAACAGTAATTGATCTGTGAATATTGCCTATTACCAACATGATCTTCAATTTTGGATTAAATATATTCAACAAATTCACTTGAAAGACAAGAAAACTTCTGTTTCTAATATTTGCAAAGTGCTAAAATTCTTCACCAGTATGAAGTTTCATAAAACTATTGAGTCCTTGCTTCGGACCTAGGCCCATGCTTTCTATGAGTTACATTCTCATTTCACCTTAACACTAACCCCTTAACACGAACCCCCTAACACTAACCCCCTAACACTAACTGTTCTAAACTGAATGACCATGGCAATATGAATGTATTTAACTCTCATTGATTATTCATTGCCCCTATTAACTGGGTAATTCAAAGCAATTAAGTTATATGAGCAGGTAAAAATATGTTTATTTCATCTAAATTATTCATTACCAATGCTACAAGGTTTCAATTTCTATACATGATTTTATGACCTTGTAATTTGTAAAGGTCATTGGTATTGTTGAGATACTTGACTAATAGGATATAAATGTCTTATGATATGTTTCAAGTAATCAATTATGCATTAGGTCCTATTATAGATAATTTCTATTCTATTCATTGTTGTTTAAAGACCAAAGTTAACCCTTAATACCTCTCAAATTAACTAGTTTGGTAACCAAGCAACTGCTGTTAATAGATTTAAAGTATTTTTATGTGGATTTGAAATTTGAAAAATAGCTTCTGTACTGCTATTTCTCTCAAATACTTAGTTTTATAAACAATGTTTGAGATTAGGGTGGTTGAAAAGAAATAAGTTACTATCAACAAGCAGCTAGTCACTATTCAACAGAAGGCACTGACCTAGGGTTAAAGTTGTGTTAAAAAAATTAAAAATTCAGCTCACTGGTTAAAATATCTGTGATATTTCCTACGGGAATTCTATCTTTTAGAATGTACACAAGTCTCAAACTTTCCCTGTACACTCCATGAATCCATAAAACTAAGTAATTATAAAAAACGCTTATAAAATATCAAGATTTTTTAAACAGGGTTCATACAAGTCATCTGAGCAAATTTTCTCTGACTTTCCAGACAAATTTCAATCATTTTCCATGACCAATTTTATATATCTTTTGCAGTGATTGTCTTACAAACTGATGGTCATCTTTACACACATTTAACCAGGCTTGTTCATTTCACAATGCACAAGTCCCACCTGTATATATGCACTGATTAACTATCATTTTTAAATTTAAAACAAACATATTGAACAAAATAACAGGACGATGATTTTCCCTGATATTCCATGTCTGAAAAACCGTTTTTAAATTTCCCTGATATTCCAGGTTTTCCATGACCTGTGCGAACCGTGTTTAAATAATTATCTGTAGTTTTATAGATAATTACTTAGTATTATAGATAATTACTTAGTATTATAGATAATTACTTAGTTTTATAGATAATTACTTAGTTTTATGTATTATTACTTAGTTTTATAGATTTATTGGATTATAAAGAGATTCTGTTGTATGGTTTTGACGTCACGTAAATCCACATGATGAATATATACTCATTTCAAGATGTAGTATTCCTTCAAGACCTCCTTAGCTGTGGAATAAATGTGCCAAAAAAAACCATCAGAAATATCTATCAGAGACCAATTTTAAACTCAACAGAATACTGTTATAATATTTATTTTCAAAAGGTCTAGTTAGACTTGACTAGTAGGTTTTTATTTAGATTGAAAATCTTGATTATCAGACCAAATTTGTTTTGACTACTCAAATTAAAGTTTGATTCGCATTTCTTAAAAATTAAAAAAGCAATTTAAAATGTAATGCTAGTAACCTTTCATTAGCAGATCATTGTGATCAATTTTAATCATTGGAAATATTGGATTACAAAAGCACGGTTGAATGGACAAAACTAGGTTTTGAACGGGCAGTGGACAAAACTGGTTAAAAACCAGGATTTTAACCGGTTAAATCCATACAAAGCGGAAAAAAATGATCAAAACTAAGAGTTCAATTTTTTTCACAGTTTAACAATCTTGATATGTTTTGTCTTAATCATGGTAATTGAATTCTTAAAATTACACCCATTGTATCATAACATTTTCTCACTCCTCTGAATCTACCAGCAACCAAAATGAACAGTAGGAATCTTACATAGCACCTATATATATTAGTTATCTGTCAAGTCTAAAGTCTGTGTTGAATTGTTGCAGACCCAACTGAGTAAGAATTGGCATCAGGATCAGCTTTTGAGCACTTTTGTCCAATCAAGGGGTTTTGGACAGGACGGTTTTAACCGGTCAAAACTGGCTGGTTAAAACCTCTCTGGACAAAACTTGCCAACCCTGTACAAAAGGAGTCATATTGAATCACAAACTGTTATTCGATGACAAGTTATTAGTTGACCCATGAAAACCAACTTAAAATAAGAGAACATTTCATGTTTTTTATGTGATCAGGTTTCCATTACACATCATCATTAATCATATATGCTCAGATGCTTGCCTTCAAATTGTGCACAACTTCAAAGTCATAGAACATCTAAAATTCATACAGATAGAATAGAACAAGAATAAAAATGTTTTGGGGGCATATAATGTGTCGAGCTTCATTACCTCAGCACATGAGCATGATTGACACCATGATGACAGGCCAGGCTAAATTAATTTATGAACTAAAAGGTGAGGGACATTATTTTTTAGCTTATCATTCCTCTACCCATCATAAATATTACCAGATCAAAAGATTAAACAATTTCAGTAGCCCAAAGGTAACATCAATTACTTTGAATACTTGCTAACTATCTTAAAAGAACATTAAAGGACATTCAGCGTGTAAAGAGTTAAATTTGAGCCTGAGGGAACAAGGGTTAACAATAAAATCTATCAGAAACAGTATGGCTGATGATTGACCCCAAGAGTTTACTGTCTTATTTCTAGTGATAAAATATTACCTAACTCTGGACAATGGTCAACTTTTTTAACTTCAAGTTGTCAACACTAGGGGTGGACACTCACTAGTTTTTCAAATATCTTTAGACAAAGGTGTTATTTTCACCACTAAAAGGGACTGAATCAAATTTGCTGGAGAAAAGCTCTTTGACACTAAACTTGAGTTTACTCTAAAGATTGGACCTCCTCGAGTACATAAAGCTGACGCTTCTTGATGCATTTAATTTCCCTCCATTAACAGATACTTCAGTGTGAATCTATTGACTGAGCCAACCTTCCTTCCAAAAACTTCACATCATTTCAAATTTGGGTTTGATCATCTTTGGGTAATCACCTTAATCAAATTTACTCTTTGAAATCCTCACATCAAATTCGAGTGCCAAATCCTTTCTACTCTTCAAATCTCAAATTTCAAATAATCCCCTTGCTTTGTGTCTCATATTTCCAGTGAGCTGAAATTAGCTAATGATTAAGTGAATGAAAGGGTTCTGTAATTTGAGGAAATGAGATTACCGGTCCCCAGCATGTCATTAAGAGTTTTAGTCACCATCTTTAGTCTACCTTACAAAAATGACAGTAACTCCTAAATAGCCAACTAGTTTCCTAATTAAAGGTTTTCTTTGAAGATTTGAAATGTCCTGTAATTCAACACCAAGAATTCCTTGACAGAGAACAAGAAAATGAAGCTTAATAATAGCTCTTTAAGCTCACATTTTAGCTCACTTTTGTATAATCTGCCTTCAAAATAACTGATAAATAATCAGAACTGAAGATAGCTGCCAGGCAAGGTAATATACACCCACTGGCAGCTTTGATTTTAAATAGAAATATTTGGCAGTACAGTAACAATCACCAGTATGAAATATTCAACCTTCAGTCATATACTTATGAACTTTTGCATCAAGAATCATGTTTTTTAAAGTGTTAACGAGCTAAAAATTTGCTGTGTTTTCAAGAACAAGGGCAATAACTCATACTAAATATTTTTTGATTTTTTTTTTTTTGGGTGATTACAAACACTCATACCAAGTTTTGTCCAAATCCATCAATAATTGTCCCCTCTAGAGTATTTACGAGCAATTGTGGGCAGCCAGACAAACAGACTAAAAGACACCATTATACGAACCCCATTTCTATATCCATAATAATATATAGAAGTTAAACATTTGTTGTTATTCAGATTTTGAAAGTTTGTGGTGTTTTTTGTGTGTTTGCTCCATTTGAGATTCTTGTTGTTTTTGGTAATCAAAATTTTAACCTATCAAACTTGTGAGGTATTCTGGGATACAATAACTGATACAATCTGTCCACTTACATCAATGTTTTTGATTGGTAGCAACTTTACAACTCTTGGGGCTATTGTGATAAAATTGAACTGAATACAATGTACATCATCTTCACAATGTCAGCTATTACTTATATAAGTAAGAAGTTGGTAATAGCTTGACATTGTGAAGATGAATGGAATGTTCTTAAGTATTTGGTCAAATGGTGGTGTAACCCGCAGAAAACTTCTTCTTTTTTTTTTTTTAAACAGTATGTGACATTACATCATATATTTTTCATGAACCATTCTTAAAATTATTAAGAAGAATTCATTTGCCTAAAACTTAGTCAAAAGCCATTTCAATTTTTATTTCATTGTTACTTGCAAATAGTCATTAAAGCTGCTTCAAGTTTCCATGTCAGTCATTTTAAAACCAAACTTGTTTTCCAAACAAACTAAATGTAAATAAAGATAGTGGATCAGCTTTAAATATGCCCACTGAAAAGAAACTTTCAGGTGGTCATGAAACTATATTGAAAACTGTAGTGTCTTTGCTATTCAGTATCACATGGGTACTAATTTAAAATTGATTTTTCATCATATACCTAGTTTATATCTTGAGGGTAAACATTCTGAAAATGCTAAAATTGAAATTTTGTTTTCATTTTAGGTTAATGATAATTGGTTAAAAATCTGCAGATTCTAAAGCATTTACAATGGTACGTGAAATGATGGCTGGACTTTTAAAAAATAAGCAGGCTTTGGTTTATTGTCCCATCCGAACGACTAGACACTTTTTTTATGTCAGCCCCTCTTACCAGTATCACTGACGGGAGAAAAACTGGTTGAAAAAATCCTCAGGTAACCTATGCCTGGATTGAAAGTTGAACCGTCAGGTCAGCAAGCAAGCGTCTAACTCACTGAGCCACTGCGGCTCCTTGGATGTCAACAATAAACATGTATGTTCATATAGATATAATAATATACTAAAACGACTCATTATTTTACATACCTCTTATCTAATGAAGGTAATTTAGGTAAGATATCAGAAGAATTATCTTCAGGATAAGGTTCAGCTGACCAAGGTGATTCTTCACTAAATTCTTGATTGATCCAACTCAATGAGGTTATTTTACCTCCCACCTCTGCTGAGTGAAGTACAGAGGCATTCTCTGTATTTGTTAGTTGTATTTTACCACTATAGTAACCCACTGCTAAAACTGAAATATAGGGAAATGGTCTCTTTATATATTCCTTTTCTGCCAGGATTTTAAGAGGAATGGTAGATTTGTAGCACAAAAATATTCCTATGACAGTTTCTCTTTTTCAAATTCAAATGTCAGGAACATTTATGTGGAAATCTTGAGGCATAGATCCCATTCAAATCTTGAAACTATGTAACAAATTTTGATAGCACTGTCTCTAGCCTGATAAATCGGGCATACCAGATTGTTCTACAATGCCCCTGAATGCTTCAGTTCAGCTTTGTAAATATAAATACCAAAAGTAACGCCAACTTTGGCTTTTGTCATTAAAGAAAATTCTCTCCAAAAATTGATTGGAGCAACTCCCATAAAAGTGAAATCTTCTGTCTGGCCCAAAACGTGCCTATATCATATCAGTATATCACATCCAAGAAAAAGGTAGGGCCAGATTTGTTAACCTATATTTCAACATGTGTCTAAATTATATTCAAGACACTCATATTAGCAAGCAAGCATCCACCTCTCTAGGCAACCACCTATGTATACTTGGAAGTTAGATAATATCAGCACTTGCACTAATCTGTAATTTGGGGTCAGTTTTTAGGATATTCATGTTTTCAAGATATTCAAATACAATAGTCAAATCTAATAACTTACAATAATAGCCAATCAATTATCAAATTATAAGTATTTTTTAAAAAGTTACAAATTGAAATATGATAACTTCTTTCTAATATCAGTGGATAAAAAATATTATACAGAAAATGAACATTTATTTGTACCAGTACCTTTGCCATCTGGTCTCCAAGCTAACCCACCAACTTTATCTTCTTCAACTGAAGGTTGAAGAGTCCAAACTTTCTGCCATGACAGACGATGCAAATTTACCTGAAATATAGTTTTAGCTTTTTTAAGATTTGTAATTAATGATCAGTTAGGATCAATTCCAGATGAGGTATTCCAAAACAAAGAATACTATTTTTGTCCTAATAAAGCAAAAAAGCCATGTTTGTGACTAGGCACTTTGTATAACTTTAATATAGCTTGCCAGGCAAAGTAACATATGCCCACTGGCAGCTTTGATTTTAAATAAAAATATTTAGCAGTACAGTAACAATCACCAGTATGAAATATTCAACCTTCAGTCATACACTTCTTTTGAACTTTTTTGACGTGATACTGAACAATATTACCAAATTTTGTCAAAATCAGTTGAGAATTAACAATAAACCCAATTATGGTAATGTTTGTTGTGAGCAGAATCATTTTAGTCAAAAAAAATGTACCAAAAAATACCATTATTTTAGAGGACTATTTCAAAGGTTTGTTATGAGTGCCATCTAGAGTATGGGCATGTCTTGCCTTGCTGACAAATGTAATATCAATTAATATCATTTATCATACCAATAAAATTATTGAAATATATTGTCACACCTCATTATATAATTAATAAAGTAAGAATAAAGATAGATAAAATATGTAAGATATCTATAAAAGTGTCAGAAAGGCGATAAATTTTACACTATATAAGTTAATTAGTGCAAATCTTTTCACCTCTTCATTAAAAGTGGCAGCCTAGACAAATTTACAGTGTATGAAATATTTATATCATAGTCGTAATATAGAGTTGATCTGGTTCAATATGTTGAAAAGTACTAACGATCCAAACCCTATTACGAAAGACGAAATTCAAAACAATATATTGGCTATAACAGTAAATTGGTAGCAGCAAATGAATGTTTCATATGAGGAAGTATATCAATCATAAAAGAGGAAGTATTTCATAATCAATAGTGGTTGAAAATCAGACTTTTTAAAAAATTTATTAACAATTAACAATTGCCATTTACTAAAAACCAAACTTGTCTTCACAATATTGCTAAAATCTCATAATGGACCAAAAAATAATTCTGCAGTACCGTAATGATTGAATTGAATCTGTTGTAATTTTTGACATTCTTTTCTCTTCCCCATCATTTTTTTATGCTTCTTTTGGTCTAGTATAGTTTTTGATGTCTAAGTTTGTCATTTTTTCAGATTTGGAGAGATTTAGAAGTGAAAGAATAAAAGTTTCCTGTAGAGGCAGGTGTTAATATCCAGAAGTTATCTACTTTCAAATTGCTTTACTCAAAATTTTCATAGTCATTATAAACCTTTTGACCAGATACGAGTATTGACCACACTCTCAATTATTTCATATTACATTAAAGATGGGTTTCCTTATTTTGTTAGTGTCAAATTAAGAAAACTACATGCATTTGATTAATTGGTGTTTCTAATGAATTATCATGTATTCTTAATCATATCATTATGTTCTAATTGCATATAATTAAGAGTTTTAACCAATCATAAATGTCCATGTATGTACAGTCTGGATAAACAAGAAAAGACTTTTTGACTTTTCTTGATCAGTCACTGATTGGAATTCTGCTGTAATTCTCTTCTAATTTAGTTAATTATGAATTAATCATGGACATGTGAGACAAACTGGTATTTTTCCAAGTCATTAAAAGACCTCTTCTTTCTATTCATATAAGTATTAGCATTTTCATTTTCATTAATGAAAGGATCAAGTCACATTTTTTGTTTTTTAAGAAACTGGCACACTCTCCCCTTAAACAAAACCCAGTAAGTAGCCCTTGGAATCATAACCATGGCAGATTTTGGTAAATTCAGTCATTAACAATGGAACATTTGTCCACCATAGGGTTTGACTTGTTTAATTGTTATCAACAATGTAATATGAAATGTATTGTGATACAAGGGTCACAATATGAATCGATATAGAGTAATGGGATAAAATTAACCATTTCATCTTCAATTTAGTAATGTAGTTGATAGGAGAGTATAACGTCCACTGTCTAACAAATAGTTTCCAACAATTTCAGTCAAGTCACTGAACAAATTTGTGATTCCATTCACCAACTTATAAAAATCCCTATTTTTTATGGAATAGGAGGTATTGTCAAGTATCAAGACACGATCATGTGATACAATATGTCAGCATAGTAAATACATATCTACTCAAACAGACAATTAACAATATTTAATTTGATTCCTGCATTGTGCTTAAGAATTATCAACTAAACCAGATCAGTTTCCTATTTGGACAAGGATTATATTGGTCATCATATGAACAAATATAGTCCTTATCCAAATTTTAATTTAGAATTAGAATCATGGCATGAAAATTAAACTTGTTATGAAAGAGATTTTGTATTCTCTGGATTGTATCATTGCTGAGTGTTTCCTTTAAGTACAAGAAGAATTCAAAATAAAAGTTTCTTCAGAGACATTTTAAAAATTCATCAATTAGCATTAAAAATGACTTTTAAAATGAATACTCTTTGAAAATTTGAAATAGATGATAAACATAAATATAAATGTACATAAATATTATTTGATGAAATCTGGCTATCCAATCAAGTAAATTTCAAAGAGATTTTGGATGAAATAAAATTCCTGAAGTTGTTACAATAAGTACACTAGACTACCTAGTATGTATGTACTTCAAAACTTTAAATCATTAATATATTTTAAGGGAAAGGTTCAACATCTGTTTGTACAATCATACCTTCGTCTTAGAAATGGGAATTTTTTAGCTTAACTAATCAGTAATAGTGATCACATCTCATGGTCGAAATTTGAGACTTCAAATCAATACCCTGAATTATCCACGTTTGAAAGTTAAAAAGACAGCTAGTCTTTTCTGTCATACATTAAAAAAAACATTTAAAGAAATAGAAAATGAAATTCCTAGTTTGAGATATTTTTTGAAGGAATTATGTAATTTTTGTGCAGTTTTATAACTTTTCAAAAAATATTTACATATATTCAAAACTCAAACACAATCTGTCCCTTTAAAAGTATATAAACTCAATGAAGAAACTTATTTTGAAAAAAGATTCAAACAACAAAATCTTAAAAGAGTGGCATCAAGTATCTTGGATGAGTGAGCATGATCTGTATCATCAGGGATACCTGCTATAGTTACTATAATTACTAATTATGATTACTAATTATGATAGTAGAGTAGAGTTTTTAAACTTGGGTTCAATATGATTTCACCAAATATACCACTCCAGATGACAATTAATCTTAATCAAAGAATATGATTGCTATATCTTCCCTAGCTTTCTGTTGAATGGTAACTAAACTTATTATTCAATAGGCTAAACCAACTGTTTTTCTAAATTTCTCATCATTTTCTTTTCCAAATTTCATGAAAATTCTTTTACAGAATCAACATATCTTTTACATCTTCAAAGGATAATCTACAGGAATGAAAATATTTGAATAATTATCTTTAAATCTACATTCAAAACAATAAATAAATTACATTGCTAATTATTCTATTGTTACTTATCCCATGTGGTAAATCTTCAAACGAAATCTGCTGTCTGTTTTGTAATCATTAAATCTAATCCCAAATCAAAATATCCATGATCAATGAAAAATGCTAATTTATCTATTGTGTTTTTAATCTTTAATCCCATATCTTCAAAGGTAAATCTGATATCTTTATAAATCTAAATCACTCACTAAATATTTTTCAAAAAAAATTTCAAATCTAAATATAATCTTAGGATGATAATATCTTCAAAAGAAAATTTTTTTCAAAAATCGGAATAATTATCTTATGTTTATTTTAGAGATGTAGTACTGATCAATTACCACTAGAGAATTAATGAAATGTAATCCAAATTCTTACTAATAACTTCTTCATAAATTCTTTCTTGCATATGAAACAATTTGAATAAAAATTGAGAAAATTATAAAAAAAGAATCAAGCAGAAAAAAGCCTTATTAAATCACGCTTATAAACATCTAAAATTTAAGCTATTTTCACAATCTAGTAATTTTTCTGTATTAGTTTCTTGATGATTTACATTTGGTCTCTTGTAGATTCATGAGGGTTACAGTAGCTATCCAAACAAGTGGTTGCCTAGCAAGATATGCCCACTTTCCTCATACATTTTCAGTATATCAAGAGCAGTCACCTATCTGTGTCAAATCATACCAAAAATCTAATTTGAGCAAGATATTGTTGATTTAAACAAAGACACATTATTTAATACAATTCTGACATAAACTGTCACCTCTATCCCCAACAAACTTTGATGAGATTTTACTAAGTCGTGGGCAATAACTCAAATTCTGTTGATCAGAAATTGTCAAATTCAATTGAATAAGATCTCGTCAGTATAAATGATCATACCAAATATAATTTAAATCAGATGAAAACTGTACTCTGTATTGTGTTCACAAACAAATTTTGACGTGTTTTTCATAAATCATTATAATGTGGGCGTATAAAAATCCCTTCCTATGATTTCAAATTTTCAATCTCATATCAATTTTGCAATTACTCCAAATTAGTTTATTATTATCTTTATAAGTAAGTAATAATCTGAAATATCATCTTCAATATCTGAATCTAAAATTATTCTCTGATAATCTGAATTATTCTCTGATAATCTGAATTATTCTCTGATAATCTGAATTATTCTCTGATAATCTGAATTATCCTGATAATCTGATTATTCTGTCACAATATGATCTGAAATCTGAAAATTATTCTCTGGTAATCTGAATCATCATCTTTCTTAAAATCAGTATCTGATGTTTGAATCTGAAGACAATGCTCTAGAAACAATTGAAATGCAATAATCCTTCCCTAATGGCTGTTGGGATGCAGAACAATGCTCCAAAGTTAAAACAACAAAATCTGGACTAGGGGAAGAATGTAGTGTTCAGCTGAATAAACAGAAATTGTAGCTTTCAGACAAAATCTGCAGATGTTTCATTTTTGACTTAACATCATTTGCTCATTGACTGAAGTTAAATGGTTTTTCACTTTCTTCTACATGAAAACTTTTCAATCAGTTGTCTTTTTGGTTGATTTGTGCCAATTTTGTCCCATAAGTAAAATTGTCACATGTCCACTAGGCATGACTGGTCACTCATAATCTATAAAAATTATACCCTTTCCCTACTACATGCTGTCAAACTAATAACATAATTCTAGTCAAAATAAACGACCTTCGTTCAGGCAACCATACATCTGATTATCCAGACACTTTCACCACAGAGTCTAGAGTCAAAGGCAGGATGTTCTAGTCTAAACTAGACTTCAGTGTCCAGGTGGCAATGTCTCCAGCCATGATGATCACAGCTGGACAGCACAGTTGACCAAATAATCAGTCTACAGCCTCTTGCTCATTAGACAAGTTGCAAATACCAAGCTTCTTCAATATTATTCAATATTTTATTGTTTTTGACTAATTCTGCTTCTCCAAATCTGACAGGAAAAAATTTTGACAGATTGTTGATGGAGGTTCTGATCACTCAGCCAAAATAATTATCATTTTAGCACAGCAATGTTTCCTAAACTGCAATTTTCATCATAACTTTCTATACACAAAAGACAGGCTAAAAGTAATTATTTCCATGGCCACAATCAGGCAGATGGTATTAGTTATATTAAGGGGCATTAAAAATCATGTGCCAAAGTGACAAATATTGTCTCATAATCATGTGTTGTTATGAGACTCTTATAAAAGCTTCAAAAAGGCTTAACCATAATTTTTTTGAAATATATATGAAATGAAGATATGAAATTTGGGGCACATTATACCCATCTTCACAATATCTAGCTATTACAAACTTAGTCTTATACCTTGACTGCAATAGCCTTTATTCTTGTATCACAGAAGTTTCTTGTGCTGTGATTTCATTGGATTGTACGCTAGTGAATACAGCCAATCAAAGTTTTCGACAGAAAGACATAATGTTTACAGCCTGTCTGTCGAGGGCTATGATTGGCTGTATTCACTGCCGTACAATCCAATCAATTTACTGAATTCCAAGAAGAGTGGCTATTATAGTCAAGGTATAAGATTAAGTTTGTAATAGCTTGACATTGTGATGATGATTTATGCTGAAGCCAATATACAACACTCAATAAAGCTTTTTTCTGATGATATCTCACGATATAATTGAAGTGAGTTTTCAAACCGGTCAGTTATTCAGATTGGAAAGAGTAAATTGAGGCCCATTAAGCTATTACAAGATCCCTCGACAGTTGAACTGTTAACGTTGCTCTCCTTTCCCTGCTTCCCTCATTCCACACAGCATGGCACAGCATACATTCATAAGGCCAAACAGGAGTAGAAAAAAATGACATGCAATGAATGGAGTTTTACGTCCTACTTTCCCTACAACATGCCTGTAGCACATGGGGCCTCGGTTTATTGTCTCATACGAATGACTAGACGCTTTTTCCATGTCAGCCCCTCTTACCTATATCACTTACAAGGGGAAACCGGGTTGAAAATTCTGAAGATATTATCTTGACCTATGCCAGGATTGAACCCTGAGGGAGCAAATGTCTAACTCACTGAGCCACCGCGGCTCCCCAAACAGAAGTAAAAAAGTAGGATGTAAAACTTCCTTTCCCTTTCATGAAACATAGCTACAGGTCTGACTCACCTCTCCCAGAACATTAGCTAAAGCAATAAGATCTATTTTTGGTGACCATACCATCAACTCTATTTCATTAGCAACATGTTTCTCATCTACTTGTTGAAAACCTTCTTCAGGCATTGTAAATTACTTACTGTAGCAGTCTTAAATCTGAAATATTAGAGGAGAAGTTGTTTCCATATTTTTTACCATCTGAATTTGCAGGTTAAAGGGACAGGTAGGCCATTCTTTTTGACCTATCATACTTTAGGCTCAGGAATTTTTTAGCTAAGCCAATCAGTAATAGTATTTACAGCTCGCCTGAGCCTTCAAATCCATGTGTGTTCAAAATTATCCAAGTTTAAATTTTAAGATACTCTGTGATATATAGAAAAGACATGTATAGAAATTGTGGATAAATGTCCTAGTTTGAGATATATTTGAGAGAATTATGCGATTTTCTAACATTTCTAGTACTTCTGAAGACTATTTTCAAGACTGAAATCAACCCCGAATTTGTTCTTTTAACTGTCTATAATTATATTTCTCTTTAATTATCAAGTTAATAAACATTCAAACAATAATGAAATAAGTCTTTACATAAAGGGAGCTTAACCAGCGACAGCATACTAGATAATGTAGTCTGTGGGTATCTTCATGACCAGTCTTTAACATGACTTGTGAATCTCATGTTGAGATTGTTCCTACCTGGTTTTAAGGATACAAAAGTAGACTACTTGTCTTTAATTAATCTGATTCTTGCCAGCTCAGAAAGTCGGTGCTGGATTGTTCGACAATTAACTATCGAGAGATGAGTTAGGGCATTGGTTAAAGATGGCCAGGCATGGTAACCAACACCTATGTAGAGAGTAAAACCCTACCATTTCACTACCATCCAAAAAGAATTACCATGATAATAACATTTTGGAAGAATTAAGAAGATCTAGGAACTCAAAGAACAAAGTTTCAGTGTCATATCATTAGACCCATGTTAAACCAGTCTACCCAACAAAAATACATAAAACTACCTTGTCTCCAATAGCTAATGACAGGCGCTACATAAGAGCAAAAGCTAAAAGAATTTAGGAATCTATCATTACTAAATTAACTGTGGTCTGTGAGTCAATCGTTTCTGAGTTATCTTTCCCAACTGTCACAATAAATCAACCTGCTAATTAAGGCCTGCAAATTAGAATACTCCAGATAGATATAAACTCTTTTTAATACTCTTGGAACCTTTAATGCCTCAGAAATTAAAGAAACTACACACATGGGTCACAATTTTGAATCATTGTCAAAGAACTACTGCACTCTCAGAGGACTTTTGAAAATCCCATAAACAATATTTCATGCCAGTAGGTGTCAAATTTGTTTAAGAATTAGTTTATATCACCCATGAGAAACATGATTAAGTGTTTTTGGAGTGAGAAATCTCTTTTACATGACATTGGGTCTTTACAGATTTTATTCTTTGAGAGATTCCTGCAAATCAAGCTGTTTGTTCTATAAGCTGATTTTTAAAATCAAAATGTTTTCATTTCTACATGTTTCCAATAATTATTCATTTGAACTCATGGTAATTAAAAAACCAAATGATAACCAATTCTAAAACTTTATGGATTTAAGTGAGCAATTCTTGTGTAGAGATAACTATTTGTAGAAATATCTTTTTACACAATGTCAAAACTTGTACTAAAGCTTGAACAATGAATGCAGAGAAAGAATATTGGGTCTGGTAATCGAAGAAGTTCTAGTTAAAGTTTCATGCACATGAAAATATTCAGAGAGGATGTTGCTTTAAATCCTAGTAAAATTTGATGATAATATCCCATTTTTATCCTGCCTTTATTCAATATATGACGAAGAATTTGGAAAATGAAATATATCCTTAAAGTATGGAGATAAATAAATTTCAAACAAACTTATCACATCCATTTAACCAAGTATAGCATAAAATGAAAGAAGTTTAAAATATGTCAGATTATGTGATATTTTATGATATATATGGTTTCCGAACTTGCTTTACTGCAATATAGCTATAAGAAAATATGTGTATTTCTCGCAGACCTACCATTTTCCAATAGAATACTGAAAACAAAACCACTAAAGTCTAAATCTGTATACCAACTTAACTGAATAATAGAATTTCACACCCAAAGTAAGAAATTTCAATTTTGTTATAACTACAGTAAAAACAAAGTCTTATCTTTCTTTTAAATGATAAGTATACAAGATAACACTTTCAGTTGGAATTTAGAATTATCTCTTCAGAAAGTTAAACTCTTGTCCAAACATCTTAGTTTCATCTTTAACAGCTTAACTGTTTAAAGATCCAAGGGTGCTACTTTATAAATTTAGATCTAATGATTAAAAAAACATTGAAATAAATCTGAGTGATCTTTATCCATTATCCCTCATCAATGAAAATCACACAGCATGAATTTATCATGATGGACAGAGCCTATGTAAAACATTAGAAATATTTGAATAATATTCATAAATATATTCATAAAATGTAGTTTGCCATATCATATGGCATAATGTTTAAAAATAGGAATGCCTCAAGGAATGAAACACAAAATTTAACTAACCAAGGCATATGACAGCACAAGAGAATGACTTTATTGATATGATCTACTTTCTTAGAATATGACATCTTATTTCAAAAAGATATCTCTTTTAAATCAAAACCTTGACAACCAAAAAAAGACCTTTTCGACTTGGCATAATCTTGGCATGGTAGATAAGCTACAAAGCTTTGTTGAAGACTATTTTGACAACAAAATGTATATGATACACATCAAAGACATACTCAAAAGAAATATTCCCCGAGGGTTCTCCAAATACTTTAGCATTATACTAATGTCTTCAACAGTTAAAGAATGGTATCACCATTAGATGACAGAAAGATAACAATTTTGATTCATTCCTATTTAATTATTTGAGCCTCAGTAAGTGAGTAAGACAGGAGAGATTTTTAGCGGGATGAAGTGCGAGGTATATTTAAAACGCCTCTATTCAAAGAAAAAACGACTGATTGAATGAGGAAAACTTACAATATAAATCTTAAGCCTTTCAAGTGAAGGGTGTTACATCATTTTCATGCTAACAATAGGCGTTAAATGAGAAACAATAAGCAGATTGAAGGATAATCAGAAATTCGGGCCACTGGATTCGCCATGTGAAACCACAACATCCGGTGACGCATGTGTAATAAGCAGGTAATCCTCTAGCCAATGAAATTTCAGTGGATTTGACAAGCAGCCAATCAAATGACTAGAATGGGCTCAAATCGATGAAGGGCGGCCATTTCGAGTTGTGATAGTAATAAGAATCTGATACCTCGACAATGTCAACCATTCTCTAGTGTGGATTGTCTTAAGGATATCTTTAATATAAAACGGAGTGAAGCCATTTCAAATCAGTAGACACGGTAAGAAAGATCTAACAAGCTTACATAAATTAAGATATATATACAAGAGAATAAAAAGTCAATCCTGTTTTTAAGGATTTCAATCGCATTTTTGAAAATTTGGAATGTGTTAATGAGAATTTTGAAAGAATTAATCGAGTGATTCAGAGATACCTTTATCAAGACTAGACACTAAAATGTTGATTGATTTCGGTAAGGATATAGTTTTGATTGTTTGTATTTTAAAATAATATTTGATTTTAAAATGGAACGATTTGACTCTTAAGATTTTTACCAGCCTATTTTTTAGAACACAAGCGGCGTGTCTATGACGTCATATGTTTAAATTATTAGCCAACCATTATGCGATATGAAGAATCATAATGAGGTCAACCAATCATCATGCGATTATCAGAATTTGCATAGAATAATCAACAATAACATAATTGAGATGTCAAAATATAATATTACTATTTTACAATAATGTTTTATCAAACCAAATAAAACTGACGAGTCAGCAAAAAATTATAGTTTTTTAAGTTTATTTTATGTGCTTCAAATTGTTTTAATTATTTTTTACATAAATTTTCCTGGTTTATATTTTCAATTAAAATGTTGTTTTCTACACAACTCATTGAAATAGGTTTTAATGCTTCATAGAAAATAAAGCTTTAATATTTTACACCCCACTTGAGAAAAATATTTAGTGCAGTGAACTTTGACCGCTGGCTGGGATTTTAATTATTTGGTACACCAAAAACTTTATTCCTTTTTGTGACGATAAACAAAGTAAGGTATCTCGATATATTGTTGAGATTTTAACTACATTAGATAGCCAGCACAAAGAACCTGCAAACTTTATTCAGAACGGCTGCATTGTGAAGTGGTTGAGGATAAAAGGCCATTCTTTGAAGTTAACAGCCGCAGGCTTGTGTTACTCACCGACGCTAAAATACTCAAGTGTATGGAACTGAATGGAAACAGTGTGTGCCGAAAAATTGGATTTAAATCTGTGCTATAAGTTGGTGTGAAACACGGATTATTTGTGAAATTAGGACTGTGTTTAGACTAAATGTCTTCCTTGCTGGACTTAATCTAATGTTGAACAAGGTGATGAAAAAGTAACCGTACATTTTGAAACTTAAGTGACATGGACTAACATCTTCAATGGGTCTCTGTACTGGACATGTCTTCACCTAATTAATCACAAGTCAATGACTGACAATGAATTTCTCTTGGATGTCTACACGGTTCATATCTTAAATGACGTAACGTTTCGTCCTAAATAGTTATTTGAAGTAGAGATTTTTAATCAATCTTCTGCCTGGTCAATACAGCGGACGTATCTGTTGCGTTTTAAAAGCCACCATTAATTTGTTGACGTCGTGAATGCGTGCAAATTGATATTTAAATCAGACTGTCAATTGTGAACGCAGATCTACTGACTACAAGATTTGACCCAGACCATGGACTAGAAGATTTAAACTTTCAGACGTCAATTTCAAATTTCCCGCTTATATAAACTATGGGTTTCGTTTTTGATTACCCCGATTAACAAATTATTGGCGATGAATAGGGTCGTTGAAAAGATATCAAATTGAAGAATTGACGTTAAATTTCTAAACAATTCTGGGTTTGTGTTGATTAAATCGTACGTCGTCGTTAAATCTAAGCAAACTCTGAGTTTATGAAGCCACTAGACATCGTCGCGACCGTTAGATTAACCTTGCACAAAATTTGCTATTTTATTTTAATACCAATATAATTTGCTTGGGTTTGGATTTACTAACCAACATATAAACCTCAAAACTCCTTCCAAATTAAGTCATTTCAAATTTAGACGCACAACTTACACCACGATGGGAAGCGTATTTTTAGAGAACAAATTTTATTCATGTAAGATTCGAAGACTCATTAATATACAAGACCAGATAGCAGACGATCGTCACGTGAATCCTTGGTTGAAATCTCTCGAGGATAATAAATATGTTCATAATTATTCTGACATTTATGTAAATAGGCTTTCAAAAGATAACCAGATTTTCAAATCTCTGAAAATGTCGCTAGGAATTTGTGAAGATGATGTCGGTAATTGGAACCATCATTTCTGAGAAATGCCACACTTCTTCCTGGCATATTGAATTCATCATTCGCATCGCTGACAAGACTGACACAAATTAGCCAGTTGGTTAGCCCCATGGAACCTATTAATGTTATTAGCACTCGGTCTAAAATTGGGTTTGCTAGGGGCTGTGAGGTATATGGTCCCCATGATACCCACACCTACGTATTCAAGATTTAACAATGGCCTAAAGGCAATGATCACTGTATACCATGGCAATTTTATTGCTGGGATAATCCTTCATGACATATCCTTCTATAACTTGGCATATCTTGATTACATTGTCAATTGATACCATGGTACAGCTAAATCTTTTTAGATCTAATGAGGCTGAATGAAGGTGGTAATTGCCTAGTCCTTACTTACCCTTAAATCAAAGGATGTCATCGTTTGCTTGATTTCATTCCCACAGTGGGATTTCGAAACAAACCACGTAAACTGACCAAGGTTCAAATTATCTCAGAGGGTTTTAAATGTTCCCTTTCTTTTTTCAGTGATGTCGAATTCAACTATTCGCCGTCGCCAAACAGAGGCAGAAAAGAACATCAACAGACTTCGAAACGTGATGCCTGACAAATATATGGAGCTCTGCCTTATGCACCTCTCATTTCTACTGGATTTAGATGGCAGCAAATTGGAAGAATTGAGTGAAACCGAATCGAAAACAGACTCAAAGAAAGACAAAAAAGGCTGCTCTACTCCATTTTCCAAAAAGAAAGGTAGGGTAATAATTTGTAATTTAGAAACCATTTGATCATTGTGTCATTAAATGGCATAAATGGTCATTTGAATAAATCAACCACGGTTTGACGTATTTGCCACATGTCAAGGGTTATTTGGTTCTCGGACATCTGTTCAATGTTAAAACTTTTAGTCGTTGGGTCTTAGGATCTGTTTGATCCCGATCGTTTGGTTTTGTTTGAATTTCAAACTTTCTATTCATTTTCGTATAATTGAAACATCTCTGTTATTCACGGTTTTTGCGTCTTCAATTTTGTACGAGTGTCCAGTAACTCTGTACAAAATAAAAAAAATTGGCCGAATGGATAATTATGCCAAACTGCCAAGTACCTTTTTATAGTTTTTCACAAGTTAGACCAAATTCATATGTTAACAGTAGCAGCTCAAGAGCAAGCAAGAAAAGTGTGAAATACCCTACAGCAAATATACAACGGAGTATGATATACAAACGCACGTGCGTTGATATACACCGGAATGTGTATTTACACCAAAAACTAAGCAGATAACCATAAAACTAGCATCAGAATTTGGTTTTATAACCTGAACATGCAGAACGCGTTTGAACAATGTCATTAAAATTCTAATTCTTTTCCTTTTCAATGACTTCTTTTAACGACAAGTTTAATTGTTCCCATTAAAAGTAATAGTACTATCTAGAAACGGAGCAAGTTAAGTTGCATTCTTAGGATGGCCACAAAATTTTAACATTCCTTTTGTCAATCAACTAAATTGTGCCTATAAAGTTGACCATAAAACTACTGGAAGTCTTGGCTTACAATGGTCAAAAACGTCATTTCCACCTGGTTGGTCATTGAACTGGCCTTTTATTTGCTTCTTTGATTCAAAAATTGTCTCCGATACCGGTATCGATTTAAGGTTATATGTTAAATTCGATACATTCGTCGGTCTGTCAAGTTGCGATTTTATTCTTAAAAAACTGACTGGTGTACATTTTTTCCCCTTTCTGATATGGAATATGAATCGAATACGGCTTCGGGTTAAACTCGATAGCTCGATTATAGGGGGTCCGAATCACAGCAGAATTCCAAGCACCCCGTCGGATTGTTTCCTGTACCCCACGCCCTGTTCTCCCTATTTGTTGTTGAATCCTAGCAAGGTCACAGTACTGGTATTCATTAACACCCAGTAAACAGTGGGTAACTGAGCTGCCTCTTAATTTCAATTAGCAGCTGATTATGACCGCTATTTATCATTTTTATGACCCCTTTATCAATTGACTTTTTCACCAGCATTCATTTCCTTAGTGGCAGTTTTTATGGCTTCGACCATAACTTTTAGCCTTTTTACTGTTTATGGCCTTATCTACCATATGCCTAACGAAGTTTTAGGACATTAAAAAGTGTTAAATGAAAACTGACCAATGGCTAGTACCATTGTTATTCAAAGTGACTTTATGACTTCTGTTTTTTTTACAACTCAAAGGTGTTAAGAAAATCTATAGTACCTATACTCAAATTAACTCAAGATTTCACATAACTCCTTCTGGAAACTTTTATACCACCCTAAAACACCTTGGTTTTATAACTTGTTAAATTCAAAATGACCACATTAACTTTAATTTTGGAACATCAAATTAGAACATTTTATTTTCAGCAATTTTTACTGCTGGACTATTAAACTGGACAATTGGTTTCTTCTGGACATCTTTGAAACATCTTTGACAATATTAATTGAACACTAAATAGTTTATTTTTTACCATAAAATTTGGACATTCAAATGTTTTCAAGATCAGTTCTTGAAGAATTGCTTACACAAAAGAACATTTTAAGGATAATAAACAAAATCCCTTTCAATATTTGGTTTCCCAGGAAGATCATTTTAATGAACTAATTAAAAAAAAATCTCTTCTAAAAACACAAAAGTTCATTTAATTCTTTTATTTTCCCACACTCAGTTGAGGGTCTTTTTGACTTATCCAAGAGGCTTTGTTTGAATTGAAACAATGGATTGTTATGAACAGATGATAGCTTTAGTTTACCTGATTAGGATTTTTTTTTATTGAAATATGTCAAAAAGGAATTGAAACATTACCTTCACTAGTTTCACAATAGGTGAAAAAGATTACCCTTATTGTGTAGTGCTAAATACCTATTTAAGAGCCCCTTCTGTTTTTTGGCATTTGGTAAGTAGAAAGGGGGTTGACACAATAGGGGTTGTCATCTAATTTAAACACCCTAGGGGTGAGATATAACACCCACCCAGATGTCCTACAGTGCTAATCTTCTTCATTTAATCATCTTATCTCACATTTGGTGTAAATACCCAAATTTCATAGTTCAAATAGATAATCCCAATCCACATTCAGATAATCTACTAATCTGTCATACTTTCTCGTGGGAGTTTCAATTTCATGGAATTTTTTATTTCTGACAGATTTTTAAAATAAAAATTGTTATTGAACAAATTTGAATATTTTTTTCTTTGTATATTTCAGATAAGAATTTATTTGGTTCACCAATCACACAAGGAAACATTGCTCAAATATATCAACTTATTGAATTCCTTGGCAGACCAGAAAGTAAGTTCCAGATTTCTAAAACTTGATTATATTATTGCTATTAGCTATTCTGAGATAAGTTGAAAAATGCCATTTAGCCAGTGGAGCTAGTCCTTGTATTTTGACCTTGTAAACAAATTGTTTTGCAAGAAATGAAAAGAAATCTGAACATGATGACTCAGGTTTAATAAAATATTTCTTCTATTCAGATATCCGTAAAGAAGGTCTATTCAGGAAATCAGGCAACTGTAACCGACAGCGGTTACTTAAAGATTGGTTAGTCCAGGGTTCCAGTAACCTTGGTTTAGATGATGGAACTTTTTCAGCTCATGATGCTGCTGTTGTTTTGAAGAACTATCTCCAAGACTTACCAGAACCCTTACTTACAGACAAACAATTTGAATGCTACAAACAAATCTTAGGTAAGTGTGTGTGGTTGAGACAGTGAAGAAAAGAAAAAGTAAAAATTTCCATATGCAAAGTAATGAAAATGCCAATATGGTTGAGATCACAAGGATAGCCTGCATAAGGTAGTCATTAAAGGGCAAAGGGTATTTGTACGGATTAGTTTGGGATTATAAAGAACATGTTTTATGTTTAACACACACACCAGGTGGTAAAAACAGTGTTTAACAATACTATTTACAGCAATTCTTCCCTGATGTCAGCAATGAAAAACACATGGTTTATGTGGAAAAAAAAATGGACACCTGGCTTATGTCAAGCTTTTGATGTTAGAACACCTAATACCAATCTGTAATTTTGCTTTGCAACTGAAATTCATATTTGGGCAGTTTACATAGTACATCTAGATTTTCAGCCCAAAAGCTTTTTACAACAAATACTTAGGGTTAAGACAACATTTTTTTGGTATGCTCATTTCATAATATTTTTTTCAGATATGGGCAAATTTCTAAGAACAGACAAAGAAAAATTAGCTGCTAAAGAAAAACAGCTAAAAGCCATCCAAGTTTTAATATTAATGCTGCCAAGAGAAAATGCTTTATTATTGGAATGTATTTTGGATTTATTACACAGAGTTAGTTTAGTTAGTGAAAATATGATGACAGCTAATTCACTGGGAACTATTTTTGCTCCACATCTGCTGTGCTCTAGAAAGGTAGCCATTTTGTTTCATAAATCTCAAATCTATTCTGCCATTTTTAGACTTTTGAATCCTATATTTGATGACGTTCTGCCCATGAAACTGCAGCCATTTTGAATTGTTTACTGCTACTAGATATGGGAAGTAAATTGCTATAACTAATAAGTAAATTCTTTTTTTTCAGTTGACTGCTTTGGAACTCCATGCTTTGTCAGGTATCTGTTCTCAAATAACAACACTTATGGTGGAAAACTCTCCCAAATTATTCAAAATTCCACGAGAATTAGCCATAGATGTTTCTAATTTCTGGACAGAAATGGAAGATCCAACCAAACATATCAAATATACAAAAACAGACCCTAAAACAGAAAACTTCAGCAAATCTAAACAAAAAAATAACAGTGGACCAGCACTGAACACTGTGATCTGTTATAATGACAGACAAAAACAACCAGAAACCAATACAGATATTGCCTTAGCTAATCTCTATGCCCATGTACAATCCATGCCTGAATCAGCTAAAAAGAAGAAATTAATGAAACAATTCCAAAGAGCAAACCGTCCTTCAACTCCAAAGAGTTCCAAACATTCACGAAGTCGAACATTTGGTGAATCTTTGAAGGTAAGAACAACATTACTTTTACTTTTAGTGTGAACATTTTCATCAAATTGGTCTAACTGATTTGGACTGTGTATTTCCCCAAAAGTTACAATTAAAGAAAATTAACAACAAATTTCTAACAAATTGAGGGGCCTTAATTGATATTAATTAAATATTAATTAATCATTGAAATCTTTAGCCCTAATGATTTAATTATCGTTTTTTGTTTATAGAAACATTTTCCAGTATTACATAAACATAAACGAAATGATTCCCAAGATGTTAACAGTACTTCTCGAGGTTTAGCTTGGGCCGTTACCAAGGTAATTATTTTTATAATTTGTTAATTGTTTACATTCTTAATTAGCTTATCTCATTTTTGGTTTTGGTTACAAATTATTGCATGGGTTTTAGTTTATTTCTGCTCTGCATGTGCTTTTCCTTAGTCATTATTATTTAATTTGTCACAATATAGTTGCCATGGAAACCAAAATTCATTAATCTTCCAACATTTGATGATGAAAATTTGAAAAAAAAAACAAAACACTGAATTTCTTTGCAAAAAGAAAGCATTTGATACCAAAAACTCATTCTGGAAAATTTCACCTTTTAGCCTATCACAATTGAAGAAAGTGGTAACGATAAAGTGACAATCATATCTTGTGGTACAACTACCACGCCTTGTACCCCTGTAACACCACGTCATTCTCGCCGAGTTGGGGTAAGAATTGTTTTCATCCTCTTTTCTGCTGCTTTATCTTTTCTCTTTATGCTTTAGTTAATTTGGTTATTTTTTCTATTAGATTTAGAACATATTTATAGTTGTGGTCTGTTTCCTATTTTCTTTGTTACTTTCTATTTATTTTGGTCTTTATGAAATTTAGCTTTTTAAAGGATGCTATCACTTATATAATAACACTTTTAATTTTCTTGTTATATCATGCTGTTCTTTGCTACAAGATTTTGATATTCATGTGAATTGTAATGAAAAAATGTGATGGCAGTTGTATTCAATTTTCTCATCTCTTTATTGCAGCCGAAGAGTCCTGCTGTTCACATTGTGGACATGTGGCAAACTGAATCACCAGTGCCAAAATCATCACGCAAGAGACCAAGTGATGAATCTGATGAAAACATTCCCAATAAAGAATTGAGAAGGTCACCAGTGTCAGAATGTCTACCTGTGGCAGAGAAAGAGATCAGCTTCCTGTCAAGAGATGCCCCCATTAAGAAAATCTTAGTGTTTACACCAGAACATAATAAACCTGTAGCTCTAGTCAGCCCTATTACACAATCTGTCAATCAATCATCACGAGAATGTCAGGTGAGATATTTATCAATTAATTCATTCCATCTTTCATTCATTCATTCATATCAAACTCTCCTCCAACAATAGGCTCTACTGTAGTCAACTTGTCAAATATTGTGACTATATCATTCACATAGTAATTGAAAACACATGGACTGACAGGTTCACCTTGAGGGCTACCTATCTACCTTACTGTCCATTTTTCTATTGACCAGCCAAATGGTCATCATAGTGTCACATTAGATAATAGGGTCCATTATTGTTGATTAGAACTTCCTTGTAGTCAACAATGGTCATCTATTGTTCAGTTTAAAATGACCAAAACACTCATTTATATTTTTGTGTGTCAACTGACCTCATTTGTAAAGAGATAAAATAGGTGGCAATTGGGAACATTATTTTCCTAAGCCTTCTTTCAAAGTCTTGATAATATCTTAAATCCCTTTTATTTAACCTTTTTTTTCAAAGTTGGACCTTCAGTATTTTGACACTTAGAGCTAATTGCTAGTTAGATTTAATTATTTTCATACAAGCTCATGATTTTCTTTTTATCTTTTTCAGAAAAATATGCACACTCCAAGATCACGTAAACCAATGCATCTAATTCAATCTCCACCAACCATTGAACGAGAGAGTTCAATCTAAACCAACAGAATTTGAAATTGTTGCAAAAAGTGCTTTAGAGACTACATTTATGACTCTTTCCTTTAAACTGACTTATTTCTCCTCTTTCCTTTTGTCTTTTGTCTGTCCACTCTTATATTACTTAAAGGGACTGCTTCTCAGATTGCATGTAGTTGATTCATAGTTAAAAGAATTGAATTTGAGAAGTCATCCCTTTATAAGATTTCTTTCTATTATCTGAACATGTTTTTTGTGTACATACCCTTATATCCCATAGTGCTATATAATCTCAAAGTTTGAGATTCGATTTGTTTTGTTTCCAAAGTATGTATATTTTGAAAAAGCGATGTTCTGAAAATCGCTGAATAGTTTAATATATTATGACGGACATTTATTTTGACTATTAGAAAGGTAGAGTATTTATTTATTGATGTTATTTAGTGCCATGTTACTTAGCTTTTGAAAATGAAATGAATGGAGCATTACGTCCTACATTTCTCCACCATGTTAAATATCCTTTAAATGTGGTATATCTAAAAATTACCCTTTGTCACATCTGAATCACAAGAGAATTATTTGGAATCACAAAACCATTACACAGGCAGCAAAATTGGAATAATCATAATGCTATATTGATGATAAAAGTTGCATATCCAGTGAAGTTAACGACCAGTCTGTTTTTAAAAGTCAAACGTCAAAGTGTAATGACTACCGCTATACTTCAAAATAAAGTGGATTATTTGTGGCTGGATTTGCAAAAAATACCCAAACTTTAAATATACTGATTTGTAACTTAAACTTGGATTAAAATTAATTCAGATTAAATCTAATCCTAGTTTATTACATTGTTCTTGTTCTTATAATTGTTTATAAAGTTGTAAATAGAAATTATTGTACAAAATATATTTGCCAAATTAAAATATATAAAAAATTCGTATTTGATTTTTATTTCATAACCATGGCCCATCAGCTTATTTCAGCACTATTTTGCGGAAGATAGTATAATATTTCTTTTGAAAGGGTTGATGCCTCTTTGCTACGTTTATTGAATCCTAAACATTTTAACCAAACGTACTAAACGTGGTTGAAACAGTTTAAAATTCACTATATTGACTTACAAGAAGTGAGAAAATGTTTAAATTTAATGAGAAAACCAATTTCCTGTAAGAATTTTATTTTGTTTACAAATGAATTGGGTCATTGGTTTTGTTGCCCACATCAAAAGAAACGAACTTAGCAGGACGTCACACATGACCAGTGGCCATCAATTGAGCCATTGTCCATCTTACTTTAGATAATAATGAGCATTCGAAACCCCTCTACAATACAAATGAAATATGAACCTTAATGCATTTTCCATTATTTTTGGATACTGGTTCAATTTATCGAGGTCAGTCACAGAAGAATTTATGTGGCTCGTTGACCAATTCGACCACCCCGTAGATTTCTGGCCATTTGAAAATTTTACATCAAAGACTATACAAGAAATTGTCGAAATGACTTTAATTCCTAGGGTCATTGCAAGAGGATATTATGAATACAAGCCTATTAGCAATTCAGTTAGGAAATGAAAGAAAAACACTGCTTGGTTTCTTGTTAAGCCACGGTTTGAAAGAATGGACGATATTGTGTTATTTGGACCCCAGTTCAAAATTTAAAAGTCAAGCAGTGAAACCGTTCAATATTTAAATTAGATGGACCATGGCGGATGTCGAATTGAAGAATATTTGGACACTTGAATACAGATATCAAATTTCTATGTTGAAAAAGAAAATAACTCTGAAGCACCTCTTCAAATTTTACAGACGTCAGAGTGAATGGTACTTTGATCGCTGTCCACCTGACAACAAGAGTCACAATTTCAGAAAGATGGCGAAAAGAGTGCTTAACAAACTTCATATTTCCTTTAGGAAGTTTCCGTTGAATCGTAATCGTTTAATCGTAAACCACAAGCGTCGGTGGAACGGGTGATGAACTGCATTTTTATTCATACGAACCAGCGAAGTGTCGGTAGTGATTTAGAGACATTGCAATTTTTATCTTGCTCTTACCGTTCTACACTGCTTGCCTATCCACCAAGCTTTACTTAAAGCCTATTGAACGGATTAATCGATTTGCAGAGCCTACGACCTAATCAATGAAGTTCGGCTAAATTTGGCCAGCAGCATTGCAAATTTTCCGTCATGGAACCGTATAGTTGGCGAAAAATTAGAAACAGTCAAACACCCACGAATTCTCAAACACGAATCATGACAAAATATTTATGACAAAATGGTCATTCATGTAAAGTAGATGATTAAAGTACCCCGATTCAACGAGCACTTTTCTTCTGAGTCTGCAAAATTCGACCAGAATCAGACGTTAACGATACAGATCTGGCTAGTGGTCTCAAGAGGTCATGGTCGGCTTCTTTTCAAATCATTGCCAGCTAAATTAAAGACAAAATTCTGATTAAAATTAGCCAAATTTATGGGTCCGATTACACTATTTAGATACATTTATCTTCTAACGTTAATTTTTATCTTTAAAATGATGAAATCAGAGATCTGCCCCGGGCTACCTCTTGTCAGTCTTGATGATGTAAAATTGGTCGAAAAGGGGAGGGAAGGGATTTCAGCTAGTTAGCTCGAGAGATCAATGAGATATTTAAGATAACGGTTTATCTTCATCTTTTAGGGTACGTACATCTACTTGGACTGTCACCCAGAGCCAAGCTTAGTGATTTTATCTCGATCACTGAATAGAAATCTTATTCATTATTCATACCAGCCTATTTACGACCTGCCATGATTTCTTATCGATAATCGCAAAATTTAACCCATGTATTGGAAGCTCTCTAGTTTCATTGATAAAAGGACCTTCGATAATCTTGATAATCGCCCTGAAACAATACTATGGGTCACATCAAGATTAAGTTGGCTTGACCATTGTCCAGTGTAGCCTTGGTCAAGTGTTTGACTTCAAGCTCATTGAAGAGATATCTAGTTTCACCAACAGAGGGCACATTTCTCGAACGTGACGTTTGTTAAATTAACCAGAAGTCGTTTCGTGACAACATGGGAAGGGATAAACAAAATCTTAGTTACGATTTGACCGCTTACGTAACAAAATGATAAACTAG